AGGCAGCACGATTAGAATTATAATAATAGTAATTAATGCCTTGCCTCTCTCGAAGGATTTTCTAGTGAGGCTCGCCAGGTGCTGGCTGGGCATTAACTAATTAAAGCAGTAGCACCCCGTGAAGGGGATGGGTGCCAGCTGGGTCATGGCACCACAGCCGCTCGGCTGGGGGCTCACTCTCCCTGCCCTCACCTTTCTCCATGGCTTGGCAAGGATTAAAAGGGAGGAGCTGGTTTAGGAGGTTTGGTCCTGGATCAGCCCTCTTCCCCCAGGGGTGAGGATTAATCTGGGGGGCGGGGGATGACACAGAAAATCAGCCCAGGAGCATTTATGTGTTACCCTTGGATGCCCATCTGGTCTCTAGTGACGTGAGTTAAAGGGCTTGTGCGCACCTCTGTGTGCGTTTGGGGATAAATACACTCTCATGCACCAATTCCTGTATGTGCATGTGTCTGTACACAGGAGGCTGCTCCTGCCCGCAGATTTCCATCGACACACAAATGCCAGTACGTGGGCTTGCATAGACACAAGCCAGCACAATAACATGAGGACTGGAGAAAACACTTTACAGGGAGAGACTTGAAGAGCTCAAATTGCTCAGTTTATCAAGGAAATTGAGAGGTGTCTTGATTTTGGTGTGTAAGTACCATCATAAGCAGAAATTACGTGACACTAAAGGACTCTTCAATGTCAGCGGAAGACAGAACAAGAACCAGTGGCTGAAGCTGAAACCTGCCAAAGTCAGGCTAAAAAGCAGGCGTGTGTGTCAGGAGCAAAAGGGATGAGCAGCAGAAGCGAACTGCCAAGGGACATGGCAGGGGGTTTTTGTCCCTTGAAGTGTAGTCTTGCCTCTCTGGAGATGCCTCGGACAATATATTCTTTAATCTGGCACACTGTATGAGGGTAAGCAGATGATATTTATTATGCTGTTACAGCTCCTTAGATTATTTTTTTTTTTTTCCTCGCTCCTTGAATGAGGCCTGGGGCACTGTCTCAGGACACAGGGTCCTGAAGCATCCATGGGCTGGAGCCCAGACCTGCTGCCTGGACCCTTGCCGAGTCCCTGATCACTTACTGCTCTCTTCTCAGAGAAGCAGGGGGGCTGCGGGGGGGTGGTGGCCCTTGTGTCTTGGTGCAACCATGGGGTGCATCAGGGAGATGCGGTTCCAGGAGCTGCTGCAGGACACGGAGCTCCCAGAACTTCACACACCACGGGGGACACGCTCAGCTCCGATGCCACCATGTGCCCTTGGGGAAGCTGCCTGGAGCTGCCTCCCCAGCCACAGCCGAGCCTGTGAGCCCACAGGATGGAGAAGGGGGACCTTGGCTGTGGCCTCCAGCCGAGGAGAGGGCGGGCGGGCAGGAAGGTGTGTCTGAACAATGCTAGGTACGGCTGGTGAAAGGTGTCAGCCCTGAACAAATGACTAATTGTTGCCGTTAGTATCAGATGACATGGTTGACTGATCAGCTGAGAAGCAGTGAGGTACTGAGTGAAGAAGGGAAATGATTTGGAAAGGTAATAAACAAAGGTGTAATACAAATATATCAGGATTACAGATTTTATATACATACATAGTTATATAAAATAGTTATTGGTGGTATATAGAGTGTAACTATAACAGCAGTGAGCCCTCCATGGGTCTGCTGTTCTTACGTGTGTATTTTAGTCCAAGGGAAGCTTAAGAAATCTACTGGCCAACTTCCTTGGCGGTGCTGCTCCGCTGTGTTATCGCCTCCTCCATCACAGCCGCCCCAGTGTCTGACCTTCAGGCTGTGGTGGGCTGACCCGGCCAGCAGCAAAGCCCCCCACCCCGTCGCTCGCTTGCTCCCCCCAGCAGGATGGGGGAGAGGTTGGAAGAGCAAAAGCTGGAAAACTCCTGGGTTGAGGGATCTTGTAACTGAGGGGGTAGAGAGCAGGAGAGGCTAGGAGTGTCCCCGGGGTGCAGGGCAGCACCCTGTGAGGCTGGCCTGTCTCCCCAGCAGCCAGGTACCCTGTACTGTGAAGGGACGGAGTGAGTGGACGTGACCTTGCCAACTACAAATTGCCCCGGGGTAACGTGCTGCTGCCTCACCCAGAAGTGTTCACATCATTAAACCCTGTATCAGTCACAGCTCAGGTATTCTCGGGCATTTCCGCGGTGCCTCTCCCCGAGGACTCGCGGGTCCCTTGCTGAGCTCAGCCCCACCGGGTGAGATGGTCACGTCCAGCAAGGGGGAAACTGAGGCACAGTCAGGTGGGGCTGTGCCTCACCTGCGTCACTGGGCACAGCTGCGGAACAACATCTGGAAGGCTAAGAGAAGAACAGATTTAAGTCACAAGACAATGCCTATGCCTTAATCATGAAGTCTTTCGCATATATATAACAATACATATATAGGTAGTACAAGACCTGCAGCTACAGCTGATCCCTCTGTGGGCACATTTTGCCCACGCATGAGAGCGCTCGCAGCCGCTCTCCCAGGGCCCGCTGCTGAAGCTTGTCTGTGCTGCGGGCAGAGCACAGTCAGGTGCCAGTGGGGGTGTTTTATTGATAAATGTTTTTGTTTTAATAACAACTATGTTCTTTGCCTAGAAATTTCGTGTTCCTTGAAGTTAGGGGAATGTGATGACATCTAAAAGGAAAATTCTATTCTAAAACTGGGGTTGACATTTGTTTTTCTTTTCTCTCTTTTTAAACTTGCCTTTTAGTAAGGGAAAAAGGAGGAAGGGAGAACAGACAGAACCCAGAGGAAGTGAGATTTCCCACCACCACAATGAACCCTCCAAAACAATTTTTTTAAAAGCAAAACAATAGTCCAAAATAGCAGGAAAGTGAATTTTTTGCACTGTACCAAACATCCTTAGCTTTGTTTTACCTGCTCTGAATTTCAGCGCTGGTGACTCCGCACACAATGAGATAACAGGGGTGACTCTGGGGCACACGCAGATGAGCAGGGAGGCAGGAATGCAAACACACATTTGACTCCAATGAGTAAAACCCTGCTGAATCCAGCACCACCGGGTCCACACGCTGAACAGCAGGCGCCCTGGCACCGCAGTCATCAAATATATTGAATTATACCCATCTAGTTATGTCTTTCAAATCGCTACGCACAGTGTAGCCGTGGTCTGGGGGATGGATTAACGCTGTGGCACTGCTGCTGGCCATGTCACAAGAAGGGCTCCCGTATTCGTGTCTAAGCACACAGCGCTGTCTTGCAGTACTCTAGCTGTGCCATAGCGTGCACAGCCACGGCCGGAGCCCAGGCGCCTTTGTTCAGCTCCTGGCGCAGGAATCGTTTTTATTCACGTTGTGACCTTGGGCGAGCAACTTCGCTGTGCTTAATATTAACTTTTCTGCAAACAAGGCACATAAATCCCTTTGCTTCCGGAGAGCTGTGGGCGCAGCGTGAGGGGCTTGGTTTTGGCGAAGGGGTTTTTTCACCCCGAGTTGTCGTGTCTGTGGTGACCCTCCAGGGCAAGGGTGCCAGTGCTGCCCCAGCGATGGGGTGGCCCCAACAGTGCAAAAAGCTCCGAGTCTTCAGCCACTTTCCATGGAGGAAGGAGGTTCAGTAAAATCTGCTGTAGAGGAGGGTGCTTTCGCCCCCACCTCCCACCCCCCCTCCAGTTTGTTTGGTTTTGCTGGCAGAGCTAAACAGGGGCTGCAGAGATGATGAGAGAGGCTGCAGGCTCGTCTTACAGAAAAAGAGACTGGAGGAAATCGGCATGCGGAGCCTGACAAAACAAAAGCTAAGGGCAGCACAAGGAGAGTGGTGTGTGGATGCATCCCAGGGTACACCCCGCGGGGGGATGAGCTGCTGAAAGCCTTGGCACAAGACCGTAGGGGTGTACGTTGCCTGTGACTACACGCAAGCTGAAAACAAGAGGTAGCTTTTAAACACCGGAGGAGGGAGGGCCTGGAAGGGCTTCCCAGCAGAAGCCCTGCGTGCTGGGAGTACACAAAACTCTTTCGGTGCTTTATGGGGGGTTTTACATTGTGACACCCACCATAAGGCAGCACCGAGGGTCCCACAGCCCCGTGTGCCCAGGCTGGTGTCACTGGAGGTCCGTGGGACGACATCTGCCTGTCCGGCTGGGTCCGGGCTGGGTGTGCTCTGCAGATAAACAGCCCGTTTCATGCTTATTCATTCTGCCTGTGTACGCAGCCTGCTTGCCAGTGGCCGGGAGGTGCCTTTCCCCAGTGCTGCCTTTGGTGTGGGCTTTGCAGATGTTTTTTATTCAATCACGCAGCGCTAAGGGGGGGTCACGGCAAGTGTGATGGAGGGAAGCCCGCTGCTCACCCCCCAGCTTCCCAGTCCACCCCAACTGGGTTGGACACCACCTCACTGATCTGCGGGGAGCATGGGGCTGTTATTTACCCCCCAGTCACAGGTGGCCATCGGGTCATCTGTATTTGCCTCTCACCGGGCACTTAATGCAATTTATAAAAATAGGAGGGGGAAGAGGTGACAGCTAGGCTGGGAGACTTACAGGGAGGAGATCAGATTAGAGGGAGCAGGGAGCATCAGGAGGCAAGATGGCCCCACGCTGTGGCACCCAGATCCTTCCCTCACAGCCTTGCCCCATAACCAGCTCCTTCCCTCACAGCACAGGCTGGACCCACAAGCTGCCATTTACCTCACAGCTCAGCCCCACAACCTGCTCCTTCCCTCACAGCCTTGCCCCACACTGGCTCCTTCCCTCACAGCACAGGCTGGACCCACAAGCTGCCATTTACCTCACAGCTCAGCCCCACAACCTGCTCCTTCCCTCACAGCTCAGCCCCACAACCTGCTCCTTCCCTCACAGCCTGGCCCCACACAAGCTCCTTCCCTCACGGATCAACCCCACACTGGCTCCTTCCCTCACAGCACAGCCTGGACCCACAAGCTGCCATTTCCCCCACAGCCTTCCCCCCTAACCACCTCCTTCCCTCACAGCCCGGCCCCATCAGCTTCCCCTTCCCTCCGGGCCCGCCCCAGCCCCGCGGCGCGGCCGGGCCGGGGCGGGAGGAGGCGGGTCGGGGCGGAGCCGGCCCGCCGGGGCAGGGACGGCGCGGCGCGGCAGGTATCGCTGCCGGCGGAGCGGGCCGGGCCGGGCCGGGCCGGTGGGGACGGCGCGGCCATGGGGAAGGTGCAGCTGTTCGAGATCCGCTTGGGCGAGAGCCGCGTCGTCTACAGCCCCGGCGAGCCGCTGGCCGGCACCGTCACCGTGCGCCTCTCGGGCTCGCTGCAGTACCGAGGTGAGCCCGCGGCCTGCCCGCCGCCTCCCGGGCTGCGGGTGCCCCCCGCCCGCCTCCCCCGGGCCGGGCCGGCCGGGGCCCCGCCGCGGCGGCAGCCGGCCCGCAGCCCGCGGGGCCCGAGGGCGGTGCGGGGGTCCTGGGGGCCGTGGGGTGGGGTGGGGGGGGCGCGGGCTCCCCTCGCCCGTGGGGCTGATGCCGGGGCGGGAGGAGGAGCCGGGTCCGGGTGCTGGGATCCGGGCGCTTCGGGGCTGGCACCTCGCTTCTCCCCCGGCTGGGATGAGGCGGCCTGGGGACGGGAGCGGCGGGGCTGGTAGAGCAACCTGCTGAATTATTTCCTCCTCTGCTTCCTCTTACTTTTTCCTCCCATCCCATAAAAAAAAAGAAAACAAACCACCCCTCCCTCCCCCACCCCTCCCGAAAAAAAACAAAAAAAAACCCAAAAAACAAACAAACCCAAACCCAACACCAAAAAAACCAGCACGGGCTTCTTCCACAGGAGCCTCCGAGCTGGTGGGCGCCCAGGGCGGTGGTGCTGCCAGGTGGCCGGAGGAGCCCGGCCCCTGCGTCCAGCCTCCTCCAGAGCCCTGTGGCTTCCCAGGGCTGCCGGCATCCTGGAGGTGCTGGTCCCTGAACACTGGGCCCTTGCGCTCCTGGGTCTGACAGAGTGCCGAAACGCGTATTTTTTTTATGGCAGGGTGATGGCAGGAGGCCGGGAGGAGACAGGCGACGCGATGTCCCGGCTGGCGGCTGCCCCTGGTGCAGCAGGGGGGGTGTCCGCCCCTTTGCGAGTACAGTCCGCGGGGAGCAACCGTTTCATAACGTCTCGAATTAACTTGAATGTTTTGAATTGTGGAAGTCCCAGTCTGGGAGACGTCCAGGCTGAGTACATGGCCCTGTGCGTGCTGGGGACAGTGCCTGCCTGCGGGGCAGGAGCTGCGGGCGGGCAGGCAGGCCGCAGGGCTCCCCGCTGTGTTCGGGGTGCAGGAGGTCTGGGGTGCGTGGTGGCTGTTACTCCAAGCGAGACCCTGTTGGTGGCTCATGTAGTCCCTCAGGGTGGAGGGTTGGGGATGGACTGGGGGGAGGCGAGTTGCTGGGTTCAGATCTTTCAAACTGGGAACTTGTTCCCCCATCCTAGAGAAGTCATTTGCATTTACAAGTTAGTTTTGTGCTCAGTGCTATGAAGAAGCAAACTGATTTGCCATTTTCCCTGAGGTTGTCTTGCTTGCTTCTCCTATGTGCATGCTTCTTCCTTTATAACAAGTTATTGGGGGGGAAAAAAAGAGCAAAAATGTAAAATGCAAAGTCTCTTGAATAGAGACATCATTCAAGATGATGGTACCTATGCTTGCCTATGTCTTGCTTTTGTGAGCACCCCTCCCAGCTGTCTGTAATACCTTTTTGGAAGCTTCCTGAGGAAGAAAGTATCTAGGACATGTGCAGTCTTGTAGTCTGTTTAACTCCTGTTGGAGCAAAACAGTTGTTCATCCAGCATTTATTTCCTTGGAGGGTACTCCCCGACGTACTTCTTCCAGCAAAGACGTTCCTAATGAAGTATGGCTGATTTCCATCCTCGGCCAATCCCGCTGACTTCCACCCTTGTTCCTCTGGTGCCTCTTGGGCAAGAGGAGGGTGTTTGGCCTTGAAGGGCTTGGTTCTGCTGGCCCCTTGTGCTGCCAGCTGGCCATGGTTACACCTTGCTGTTGCCTCTACAACTCCTGTCTTGGACAGGAACTGCCAGGTTCTCCTCTCTAGCAGTTCTCCTTTGCTTCCCGCTGTATTGCAGCTGGTTGTTGTGGGGAAGGAGGAAGGTGTCTCTTTGTTCTAAACCTTCTTTCTGCTTCCTTATGGTTTGACTCTGAGAAACTTCATGGTCTGGCATAAGAATTGGTCCTGAAGCCAGGAGCGATTTTGGTGTTGCATCTGGTGTTTGATGCTAGTGCAGGTATTTTGATAAGAAGCTGGTGGAGTTGAGCAGGGCTCTAGGAAAATGGTGGCCGAAGCATTGAGCCAGAATCTGAGTGGGCTGTTTGTGTCTGTTCCTTCTGCTTCTGTGCAGAGGTGACCTGAGTGGCCCTTTTGACCTGAGGTCCCTGCACGTTGGCTTCATCAGCTAGGACAAAAACTTTTCATAACTAGTGTCTGAACCTGCCCAAGTAAGTCATGCTGGGATGTGACCTCAACATCTGTAGAGCACAAGGTGACTCTTTGCTGTGTGTCCTCCCTGCTGCTCTGGATCTTACGGTCTCTGGCATTTAAACCCTCCACATTGGGGCCAGGGATCTTTCACATGGGTACCCTCTCCTTCCTTCTGTCTGAAGAAAATATCTCACCCTTAGAGGAAGAGGCTCATGTAGCTTCTGAAACATTCTTGGTGTGACAGCAGGCAATTACCTGCTGGAAATAGGTCTTAAAGGGACTGGTCGGCCCTGTTGAGCTCCATGGGCTCAGCAGCAGAGGGATCAGACAACCTCTGACATGCTGTGGCTTTCTGTTGGGGTGTAGGGAGAGGTGGGTGGCATCAACTTGTCTTACAGAGTATATACATCTGTGACCGCCTGTGACTTTTCAGACCAATAAAGCTCCCAGGAGAAGACACCAAGTCCTCACCTGTTGCAGGTCTGGCCCACAGCACTGAGGCTTGGTGCTTTCCATTTCCTGAGCTGGGCCAGTCTGGTGCAGTGGCTCCTCTGTGTTGTGGTTTTTGAGATTGCAAATGCAAACAAGCCTGTAGATGACTACTTCGCATGGTAACTCATTTCATGGCTCTTGAAAATTGCACCTTCTGAAAGGTGGACAATACAAACAAACAAAGCTCATTCTGCCTTGCTAAATGCAATAGAAATCTTGGGTCATAGGAAAGCATAACAGGAGACACACCTTTTGGGATCATAAATGCTCCCACCTACGCTGGCTTCCATGCCAGCCCTGCTGACTAGCAATAAAGGCTGCTCAGTAGCACATCATCTTCAGCTGACCTTGTGGCAGCATCACAAATGACAACAGACCTTTGGTGACCCACACAGACCTTCAGGGGAGGCAGACTTCTCCCTGTGGCTCTGCCAGGCTGAAGGTCCTTCCTTGAAAACTTCTGAGCCTCAGGAGAGAGCGCTGATGGGAATGCAGAATTCCTAATCATTGTGCCTGGTTTGCTGGGTAAATTATCAAACATGGGTGTACAAAGAATAATTAATCTTAACAGGAAGCTGGCGCTGGGACAGCTGGAGATAGAGTTAATTTGGGGGGAGGGAGAAGGGAAATAAGTTCATTCAGAGCAGGGCAGGCAGCCGCAGTTGCTGGCAGGAACGTGCTGGAACAAAGGCTTGAGCTGCTTGGGGATGCTGGAACACTTTCCTCTCAACTCTGGGGCTTCCAAGGGCCATGCAGATTATTTCAGTCCTGCTGCCTGCCATTCAGCGAGACTTCTCGCAGGCAGAAGTGTAATGTTAAAATAACAGCCCTCTGTCCTGGGTCACTAAGAGTAAAAAAAAATGCAAGTGATTTCCAGAGCAGATTTCAGCACTTTGCTGCACTCTGTTATTTAGCCGTCCAGGTTTATGCAGTGATGACTTGACTTTAAAATCACTCCCTTGAACTACAAAGCTCCAGACACAAGTACCTACGTCTCTTCATGCTGTAGAAGTACCCACATACATAATTCCCATTTCTACATAGCAGAGAGCCTGTGAATCATCATCTCCTCCTCTAATCTTAAGTGTAGTAAATATTCTCACTTCTCATATGGAGAACCAAGAAGGCTGGTGTTGAAGAAGGGCATAGAAAAGCAGGTCACTCGAATCCTGTCGTGTCCAAACTAAAAGATGACTTCTGTTTTCCTAGGAAGGGCAGTAGGAAGAAGTTTGGGTTTGGCTAACATGTAAGTTGGTTTTGACGTGCATGTAACCTGTGCCCCTCCTGAGGGGAAGAGGTGACACTGAAAGACTCTGTTGGCCGTGATCCTCTCTGCCACTTGACCCCCAATACAGAGGAAAACATTCCTGCAGAATGGTTGTGGCTTGGGCTGCCTGGGAAAGTGATGGTAAAAGGATGAATTTAGTCCCTGGTTAGTAGTCTGAAGCCTGCTCTATCCTGAGTCAGAAGTTTGTCTTCTGTAAAGGTGGATTTGAAATTTCCGTGCTTGGCAGCATAGGTCACCTATACATCATCGGGGCAGGAGAGACCAGACCCTATGGCTGGTCTCTGCTTTGGGTGCAGTGTGTCAGGGAGCGCAGTGCCTGCCCTGCAGAGCTGAGCAAGGGCCTGGTGGGTTTGGAAGGCAGGAGCGGATCCAAAGCTGTCGCTATCTCCGGCGGCACCGGCAGTGCCCGGTGAGGTCTTCGAGCTGTTTGGCATCTCCTAGCAGCAGTGGGTGCCAGGACGGGGCGAGGCTGGCTCTGATGCACGGGAATGCTCATATATCGTTCTGCAGCACTGCTTCGGCAGGCTGGATGGCTCCTGCTATAAGGGAAGTGGATTAACTTTCTTTTCTCATTGTTTGGAGTGAGACAGCAAGGAGCTGTGTGGCCAAGTCTGTCCCAGGCTGTGGAACAAAAGAGGGATTTTTGCTCTCTTAGCTGGCTTGCTGCTAGAGCTCCAGCTCCTCTGGAGTCAATAACTAATCACAAGATTGTTTTGTGTCTCTTGTTGCTGCAGTGTATGCCTCTGCTGCTCCCCCTGCCCGCACACCACTTGTGCTCATCTGAAAAACTCTGCTTGCTGCTTTCCTTGGCGAGGAGACATGCTGCGGCCTCCCGTCTCTTGTTTAACAAAATGGGAGAACAAGTGGAGCAGAGTTCTGTCTGTTTGATTTGCTTCCAAGTGTGACAAACGGGGTGTGAGTGCTTATTCCTTCCCTAGAGCAGTGCAGAGCTGGCTGAGATGTAGCTTGTCTTTCAGGGCTGGAGTCAGGTAGGCAGCAGGGAGGCTCCCTGACTGGGAGGAAGAAGTCTGTGGTTTTCCACCCCTCACCTCCGGAGGCAGCTTCCCATCCCTAGCACGGGTGG